CTACAAATGCAAGGGACAGGGTACGGGGCTTTCCTTCACGTCTTTCCTGGTTCGGGGTCTTCTTGCACTAGTTTTTGTGCCCCGCGCCCCACGGGGTGAGGGTTAGGGTTCCCTTAGGCGTCTCGGCGGGGGGGCCTCCTCCCCAGCACCGCCGCTGCCCCCCGCGCCCGGGAACACCTCGGTCCCAACGGCGGCCCCAGGACACCTCCGCGGCCCCGGGACGGGATCTCCGACCCCCGCACCCCCGCGCATCCCTGCGCTCCCCCCGCGCATCCCTCGCCCCCTACCCTCCGCCCCCCAGTGCGCCCCTCCCCGCGCAGCCCCCTCCACTCCGCGACCCCCCCGCGCATCCTCGCGCTCCCCCTCCCCCTCCCCCCTCCGCGTCCCCTCCCCTCCGCGCCCGCGCCCCTCCGCATCCCTCGCCCCCACCCTCCGCCCCCCAGTGCGCCCCCCCGCGCCCCCCCGCCCCGCTCCGGGGCTCCCCGCCTAGCTCGCTGCCGCCCCCAGCTACGCCCCGGAGTCCCCGCGCCCCGGGGCCCGCGTCCGCGGGGGGACAGCCGCGGGGAGCATGCTCAGTCGGCCCGAGTCACGGGGCGGGGCGGGGCTCCCCCTTCCCCTCCCCCCTCCCCCCGCGCGCTCCCGGGCACCCACTGGGGCGCTCTCGGGCCGCGCCTCCCTCCGCCCTGCCTCCCCCGCCCGGGCCGCGGGGCGAGGACAAGTCTAGGGACATAAATAAATAAATAATTCCATTCACGCGGTGGCGGCGCGGCGAGCCGGCGGCGGCGGGGGCGGCGGCGCCCCGGGGTGCGGGACGGCGGGTGAAGTAAGTGCCCCGGCGCGGGCGCGGGCGCGGGCGCGGGGAGGGAGGGGAGGGGAGGGGGGAGCGGGGAGCGGGGAGGGGAGGGGGGAGGAGGGGAGGAGGGGCGGGGGCGCGCCTCCGCGGGGCCGCACGCGTGGGTCAGGGCAGCGCCCCGGGGCCCCGCGGAGGCACAGGCCCCCCCCCCCAGGCGGCCGCGGGAGGGCGCGCAGGGCAGGGGCGCGCAGGGGAGGGCGCCGAGGGCCCCCGGGCGGGGAGGGGGGGACGCGGCCACGCGGCTCCCGGGCGGGTCCCCGACAGGCGGGTCCCGTGCGGGCCGGGGCAGCCCCGGGCGCGGCGGAGGCGGGGAGCGGCGCTGCAGGACGGGGGGGGGGGGCGGCGGCAACGGGGCGGAGGCGTCGCGGTCCCCTCCGGCTGCAGAGCGGGGCGCGGGGGGCCTGCGTGGGGCGGAGGGAGCGCGGCCGCCACCAGAGGCCGCCCCCGGGCGCCGCCCCCCCCCCCGCGGCCAGAGGGGCTGCTCACGGCCTCGGCGGGGGCGGGCCGCTCTGCGGGGGGCTGCGGGGTTTGGGGTGTGCTGCGGGGATGTGGAAGTTGCACACGCGCGCACGCGCACACCGAGGAAGCGCGCCGCGGTTTCCCCGCAGGTGACCACCAGGAGCAGAGGCGCCCAGTGGGTTGGGTCGAGGGAGGCCGCTGGTGTTTGCAGGAGAGCTCGTGGCCTACGTCCTCGCCCCCCGTTTCCCGGTCCAAAAAGGGGCGCCGTGGAGCCGTAAGAGTGAGCCCCGGTGAGGGCAGCGGCCTGGGGGAGCCCGGCGGGGCCGCGGGACGCCCTTCCCTGGCGCCGCTGCCTGGGCCGCACGCAGGTGAGCGCGGAAGCGCTGCAGACCTCGGGTGAGCTCCGGGAGCCTCCAGCTCCAAGCGTGCATTTCCAGGGAGAGGCGCCGAGACCCAGAGCCGGACGGGGGTTGCAGACAGTGGAAGAGGGAGCCAAGAGGTCAACAAGGTGACCCTTCTTGGCTCCTCGTAAAGCGATCGTAGCTCCACTTTGTGCTTCTGAACACACTGCCCTGAAAGCAACCTAAGCGGGCAGGCAACGGAGTGATTCAGTGAAAGGGAAAGATCATTACCTTAAGCAACTCGGTGTGTTGTGTAACGACTCATAAAGTCAGAGGCGGTTGGGGCTTTCTTTTTTTTCCCCACAAAACTCACATCAGCAGTTTGCAATTACGTACTGCTTGTCCCCCCAGGGAGTGTTTTAATAATGGTTAGTGATCTAGAGTTTTAACGTTGGTTTCCCAATATTCAAGTTCTTGAATCCTCCCAAAAATGCTCAGCCTCTTTCTGGAGACGCATGGACTCTTTTATGATATCTGGCTTACGTTTTCAGCCGGGAGCCCTCCTGAAGGGAAGAAGGGCAGACTGACCTATAGAAAAATATCTTTTATCCAGAGTCATATTCCTGGATCATGAGTCTGGAATAAAAGGAGACTCTTGCATTTACTTTTACGTCTCTCTTCATTCACTATACTTTTTTTTTTTTTTTTTTGAGACATTCAGAGTTAGACACAGACTTCAAGGTCAATTTCGTACTTTTGTAAGGTTAAGTAATTATTTAACAATCTCCTCCTTGGTTTTTCTTATCCCTACAATGTGGTTGGTGCTACCTACCCTAAAGTGCTATTATGAGGAATAACATATAGAGAAAACAGCTAAAATATAGACTAGCAATTTTTGAACCCCTTGCACCATTCCAGACACTGCACTGTGGTTATCAAGATGGATGAGGCTGACGTTCCGCTCTCAAAAAATTCACATGTGGCCATCCGGGTTAATCTTCCTCCTATACTTTTGTTGTTGTCAGATAGATGTGTTTTTTATTTTTCAAAAAAATTAAAAGTTTTTATTTAAATTCCAGTTACTTAACGTACAGTGTAATATTAATTTCAGGTGTATAATATAGTGGTTCTACACTTTCATACAACACCCGGTGCTCATCACAATATCCTATTAGCTTTTTACCAATTTCCTTCTCAATGGAGGAAAGGAGACATACATCCTACTAACTTGAAAGGGATTTTGCTGTTGTAAGAAATAAGAACTACTAAAAGGCAATTTGAGAAGGGCACCCCCACCTCAGAAACTGGTGTGTGCAGCCCATTAGTTTGCCTATTGAGTACAGATAGGAAATGGAGGGTTTTCTTCTTGCCTTGGGGGAAAAACACTCTTTCCTTGGAAATTATCCTTACCAATGACTTGATTTCCATTTTTTTGGAAGAAGAGGCTGGCCTGCAATTTCTATGCTTTGGACAGAGTACAATCCACCTACTCGGAGAAGCCCAAGAGTATAGTATTATAGTATCTCTGTAATGGTTACCAAGTTCTCTGCATTGTGCTACTACTTTCTGTAAGTCTGTTGGTTTAGGCACAAAGAATTAACTTGTTCAGGTTGCACAGCTGGAGGCCCAGGTCTCTGGGACAAAGGAGGGAAGAGGGTAAAAGCAGGACCTCTGTAGCCTGGTCAGTCTGGGTTTTCATCTTGGCTCTGCCATTTACTAGCTAGGACAAATTTCTAAACCTCTCTAGGTCTTGATTTCTTCATGTGTGAAGACTTCTCAAAAACTTTCTTCATGTGCAAAAAGAGGATAATTCAATTTCACATAATGGGAGTAAAGGTCAAATGAGATAATACCCGTGAAACGCTGCTTAGCACTGTGCCAACCACGTGCATTGTGGCAGCTAGTGGCACATATTAAATATGTGGCCTTGAGGCTTTTAGGTTCTTATAAGGATGACTGGTTTATTCTTCTTAACAGATATTTGAGAACCCTTAGAAGTGCCGTGTTTCCCATTAGACGGCCTACCGGAGTTGGATTGTGTCATAAACTGTTACACGGACTCTCATTGTCTGAGGTCATTTTGGTTTGTCACAGGCTTTCTCAAAACTGGATCAAAGTGATTAGGAAACATATTGAGAAACAACTGTACACCAAGTCTCAGTCAGAAACAGACCTTAAAAAAAATTTAAAGAGAAAGTGTTGTTTTCTCAATTGGTCCCCAAAATGGTGATCCCTGGGGTCTAGTCTGCCTATTTGGGGGAATCCAATCGTTTACAATCATAATGTGAGAGAATAGCCTAATAGGGACGATTGTCTAGAGAAAAAAACAAAACATTTACCCTATATACATGGCAGCTAGTAAACGAGAAGGGGTATGAGCATTTATGGATAAAATAATCAAGAACACTGGGGAAAGAATTAACCACAAGTTACACAAGTTGGACTTGACTATAATAAAACCAGTCCAGCTAGCACTGGACTGAGTGGTAATTGGGTGCACCAGAGACGCTTTCAACATACTCATAAATATCAGTGTTAACAGTGATGCCAGTATTTTTGAAAACATTTTCTTGTCCAAATACAAAAATCTCTTGCAAATGTTTTCATTAATATTCATTGAAATCCCAAATGAGTTCGTGAAAATCTTGCAGGGCATTTGAGTGACAGCTAGGCAATGCTGGCATAAAGATACTTGTGTTAAAACTTTTGTGCAATTAGGATAGCCTTATAAAAATTGACGTGCAATTCAATTATCTAAACTGATAATTTTTTTGTAATATTTAGCTTTAAACAGCAATTTTTCGGTTAGAAATATTTGGTTCAAATGGTAAACACAAAAATATTTGTTTAGAAAAATGAAGATCTGCATAAAGTGTTGGTATTTTTTAGAAAATTCTCTTGTGTCACTAAGACTGTTTCCTTACCTAATAACACGATAAATGTGTTCTTATTAATCATCTATACCCCTAAACAGATTCTGATTAGAGCTAATATGCAGATGAATTATAAATTATAAGAAGAAGCTGCCCTGCCAAGTAATTTACTTGCAGACCACTTTCTTTTGGAACTAGATTAGATAAGAATAAACAGCAAAACTAAAAGGCATGAATTTACTTGAACAGTTTCTAAGGGATGAACTGTAAAAGTGGTACTTGCCTTGTTTTAAATCTGATTCTCCGAAATTTCAGAATCCAAAGTTCTGTCGGCTCTTCTCAACTATGTAAAAGGTGTATTCAGTGATAAACAGCATCATGTGACATGTGACAGTGTTTCCCAACAGGTGATACTGTTGGCATTTTGGCAGGACACCTCTTTGTGTGGGAATGCCTCTTTCACTGCAGGACATTTAGCGTCTATGACCTCTGTCCTCCATATGCTGATAGCTTCCCCTCAGTCATGGTGATTACCGAAAATGCCTCCGATGTTTAAATATACCTCCTGGAAGAATGGAATCAGATGCGGCTGAAAACTATTGGCCAGTAGGATCAAATTGAGAATTTCTGAGAAAATTATCCTTGAGATCAGAGTATCTCCAAAAGCATCTTCTGCTTTTTCTTCAAAAGACAAGCTCATGTGAAAATACCTGGATTTGAAGGAATAAGTTCTTTTTTGTAAGGTATAGTAATAATCAGGTTATCCTAGGTTCCAAACTCTCATTTGTTTTAACCTGTTAGGCTTTGGCAATATTGGCACCTGTTGCTTCTTAAACTCCTGTTTTGGCTTCCAGGCACTCCTTGTTCTTCCTCTTACTTCTCTGACTGCTTATTTGCAGCTCCTTCTTTCCTTCTGCTTTTATCTCCTGCTCAGTTTTTCTTTTGTGTATATTCTGTTGATTGACAAAGCTCATCCTATGTGACCTCTGCTTTCTCTTTGGTAGGAATAACTCCGATGTCATTATCTTCAGCCTTGACCTTCACTAAGCTTCAAGCTGACCTTCCCAAGTGCCTGCTGGACAGCTCCCCTTCCCTGTGCTGCTGACACCTTCAACAACATCCTCTGGACTCTCTGTCTCCCTTCTTTCCTTTGCTCCTACTGCTGTTATTGATATTAGCATTCTAGTTTAGAAGGTTGGAGACTTCCCTCCTGGTCTTGCATCTCCAAGTCAGTTGCTGAGATCTGACAATTGTACAACCAAAATACTTCTTTCATACTTTGCTCTTTTCTGCTGTTGCCACAGAGTTTGGGCACCTTTGACGTACTCCCTAGAATCATGTCAGTCTATTAGTGGCTCTTCTCAGCTCTAGCCTCTTACTCTATTACTTAATTCTGTCCTTTGTCACGACATAGTCTTCTGGAAGTACACCTCCCTCTCTGATATGTTCCTAACACTTTAGTGACTTCCATTTCCTGGGTCTAAGGACTAGCATTTCAGTCCTTATAATTCCCAAAAAACTTTTCTGGGCTCATCTCCCACCATCATCATATGGGAGTCCAATTGAAATGTGCTTTCTGGCTCATTTATCTGCATTCCTTTTCCTGCCACCATACCTTTGGGCATGTTGTTTTTTCATCTTAAAATGCTCTAACTTCCTGCTATTTCCGTTTCTACTTTAATCTCCTCTTCATAACTGAACTTACACACCATATTGAAATTTCCTTTGATGCCCCTAGATAAGTTGAAAAAAAACTTTTGTAAAATTTTAGTAATGTTGCATTTGTAATCTGTCTTATTCGTTTTAAACATTTTATTATAATTGCATTTGTGTAAGTCTTTAGTTTCTCTATATAGTACAGAGTTCCGGATGCCAGGTGTAATTATCTGTACTTACATATCTTTTAACACTTTGTTGGAGTACAGAGTTGCAAGGAATTTAGAGGACTTCTGTTTCCTCCTGTTCCCTCTCATTTTTATGTACTTTAGCATCTTTAATAAACAACTGTCTATTGTTTAAGTGTACATACTGAGGCAGTCTATTTTTTTAAGGCATTTCCAATTATGACCATGTTCTTGCTTCTACCTAGAGTTCTTACTTGATGTTGAGGCCACACAAAATAAATCCCCCCTTTTTCTTTAAATTTTATTTGTTTCTTTGACACACACACACACAGAGTGTGTGCACAAGCAGGGGGAGGGGCAGCCAGAGGGAGTGGGGGAGGGAGAAGCAGGCTCCCTGCTGGGCAGGGAGCTGACATGGGGCTGCCATCCCAGGACTCTGGGATCATGACCTGAGTAGAAGGCAGACACTTGACCGACTGAGCCACCCAGGTGCCCCAATGCCTTTTCATTTTTATTGACTGCCTATAAATATGTGGTGATAGCTTACATGTCTTATATCTTCTCTATAAATTTAACATATTCAGTCTTTCTAACTGCTGTTTTTATAACCTGGTTAGGGCCACTGTATTTTTGGAGGCATTCAAGTTTAGAAAAGTCTGCATAAGAAATTGGTGAGTTGGAAAAAGAAAAGAAAAACGAAATTGGTGAGTTGTTACCTCAAATCAACCTCGGGAACTAGCATAAGTCGTGCTTATGATTTTCAGAGGCATAAGCAAGAACCGATTCAGGTCAAGTTAGTCTTGCTAAATAAGCTAAATTAAGCCTTGTTTGTATGACTAAACTGGTTTTGTCCACTCGGGAATTTTCAAGGCTGATCTCTGTTTGTTTTTTTATTTTAATAATACTATTTAATTGCCTTCTCTGTGTCTGATTTTTATATATAATATCTCTAATTATTATTATTACCATGTAAGATAGATTATATTCATTTACAGGTAGAATAAAGACTCAGCAAAATAAGGCTGTCCATTAGGGAACCCCAAGAGTCAGGGCCTCAGTAGATGTTTTAATGCAGGTAAGATGCTAATGGCAACTAAATCTTGCTCCCATGTCTTAAATTATTTCAAATCAGTAAGTAATTAGCATTGCTATATGAAGTATTCTACATGGAGAGCTTACCTTATACAAGGTATCATTCCTGACACCCTGAGGAGACTGTAATTTCAGAGATATTCTCAATGGGTGTAGTAGGTACGAGTATAATCCAGAGTGGAATTGTCAAAATAAACAGTAGAGAGCAGTGATAGTCTGCAACAGAGGTTGACAAACTGTAGCCCTTGGGCCATATCTAGCCTGCTGCCTATTTTTGCTAATGAAGTTTTCCTGGAATATAACTACACCCATTTGTTTTTGCATTCTTGGTGGCCAATTAATTTCCTACTGCTGTATAGAGTTGACTAAGCCCATAAAACCTAAAATATTTACTATCTAGCACTTTGAGGAAAATATATTTGTTGATCCCTGCACTAGGATTTCAGAAGAGCGAGACTTTACTATGTAACAGAGGAATCCAAAAGGACTTTAATGAATGAAGTGGAATTTGTTTTAGAGCTCAGAGTATAGTCTTTAAGTGAAATTAGATGCTGAATGTAGGTGCCACAAAACTCAAAAGCAAACACATGGACAAATGTAAACATTCACTGAACAAGGATCATAGCATTATATATAATCCGTGTAATATTATAACAATTTGTTTGTGAGTGTACCTTTTGTAAGTATTCATCTAGAACAATGATTCTTAAACTTGATGAGACCTTTGAACCAATTGGTGAATTATTCATTTATTTATTAAGATTTTATGCATTCATTTGAGAGAAAGAGAGAGAGGAGCAGAGGAGGAGGAGTAGAGAGTGGAGGGGCAGAAGCAGAGGGGGAGGGGACTCCATGCTAACTAAGCAGGGAGTCCAATGAGAGACTCTATCCCAGGACTCCTAAATCATGACCTCCTCTAAAGCCAAGAATTAGGTGCTTAACCGACTCAGTCATCCAGAGACCTCCAATCGGTGATTTATTTAAAGATATATATATATATTTTTTTTACTCAGTAATCTGTGATACTAAAGTATAGTCCATATGGAAAAATTACTGATCCAGAATATTATTCACTTGATCAAAGTGATTATTTCCTGTAGAGGACAGAAAAGTTTTTTTTCTCACAAGTTATCTCAATCTTCACAAAGTACGTGTGTGCTACACATGTGTTAATTATTTTTGCTAATCTCTATAGTAAAAAAATACTGGATATTGAGAACACAACTAAGTGCCACCACTGTGTCAAGAGCATTTTGTACCTTATGTAATTAAAAACTTAGAATAGCCTTAGATAGTTTAAGACAGTAAGCTAGTAAATAGACTACCATGATTCAATATGATCAAGAAGTTGACTTTTTTTAAAAGGGAACTTTTGGAAATGGGACATAGATAGGAATGGACTTCAATAATTTTTTTAAAAAATAAGCTTGCCAATTTGTTCTGTTGTGTGAATTCTGTTAAAAGAATTATGCCGTATTTTTGTAAAAGTTGAGTCTGCTTTCACTACAAATGCATCTGCAAATTTTTATTGAAAATACGGATGTTTAAAAAAAATACTGATGTTTTATTGACCCAGAACTTTCTATATCCTCTGTTTTGTTACTTTCTGTCTATAATCCTGTCTCTCTTTTTCTTTCTTAATGTTTGGTTGTTGATAATGTCTTCTTTTTTCCCCCTCTTTTTTCTGTAGTATCCCTTACTAATATTCATCTAGGTCCCATTTGCTTATTCCGTGGTGTCTTCAGTGTAGCAATAAAGTGCTTAATGCATTTTCCTAAAGCAATGGCCTCTTTGAAAGGAAAAATAAAGCATCAGTGCAACTTAATACCAGTGTTTTTTTGTTTTTGTTTTTTTCCTGAACTTAGAAAGCAGCAGATACTGCAGAAATATTTCCATATCGCTATATGACAAAATAATAAGTAGATAGGAAAAGGTGAATGATTCAGAAGAAGCTGCAGGGAGTATATGAAAATGTAAATCTATCCCTCATGGGCCACATTAACATCTCTGTGGAGAGTAATCTGGCCACTTGTGCCATGGAAAGAACATTAATTACACCTAGTAATGGCCTGCTACAGGATTCTCAGATACCAGTTCTCAAGCTCACTAAAAATTGTTGCCTTTTTTATCATTAATTTTCTAAGTAATAAATGCTATTAATTTAAGAAAAAAGCTGCTTCAGTGAAGAGACATGCAAATTTTTTTTGTTATTTTATTTTTATCAATGACATAGGCTTGTTACTCTATCTCAGTAAGATACCTGGGCCTATTATTTACATTTGTTTTCAGATGTTCAGTAAAAAGGGGGGGAAGAGACACTTCTGTAGACATACCACCAATTAAAAATAAAATCTTATTTTATTTATTTATTAAATATTTTTATTTGTTTATTTGAGAGAGAACAAGAGAGAGCACAAGCCCAGGAGTTGTGTGTGTGTGGCAGCGGGCGGGGGGTGGGGGTAGGGAGAGGGAGAAGCAGACTCTCTGCTGAGTAGGGAGCTCGGCCCAGGACCCTGGGATCATGACCTGAGCAAAAGCAGACGCTTAACTGACTGAGCCACCCAGGCATCCCAAAAATAAAATCGTGTTTTAAATGCTTAGAAACTTAATTACTGTTCATTGGGATACTTCACTATTTTTGATAAAGATTATTATGCATATTTGGTCTATAACTTTCATTTGATAGTGAATGTTCCATACAGCTTTTTTAGTCTATAAGCTATTTAAATCATTTCACATTTTATTAGGCCTTTTATGTTACTAGCTTTTGTTTCGTAGCAGTAATACGTTCAGATATTGAATGGTGG